CCCCCCCCCCCACCCCAACACAAAAAAAACCAAAAATAAAAGCCTATTGGCAAATGGGAGACCAACAAGCTGGGATAAGTTAGCTTACCTCTAGTTCTGAAGATCCAAGAATACACGGAGCAGCGCCGATGTTTTTCTGATTTAAACTATCTATCGAGTCCACGAACATTCTGCAATTACGTAGAATAAAATGTCAATTAAGCTACTTTGCCACATGATATTTGATGCACATGCAAAAATATTACCTTGAAAACATCACGAATTCTAGAAAAGAGGGTGTCGGCATCACCCAGCTGTGGAGAGTAGACCACTTATGACCATCATTGGGCATTGGAGGCAAAGCAGACATGTTCTCTGGTAGACCATACATCGATCTGAATGCAGCCTCAAACACAGTCCTGAAACAAACCAATGAAGGTTAGTAAAGTTTGCTTAATGTCTGTAAAAAGTAGAGTTGTTAGGGAAACTGAATACATGCTCATGGAGTAGGAAGTACAGTATCTAGTGCAGCACATATATAAACGCACACGACTCCCATATCGAGACACCATATCTATTCTATGAGGGTCTTAAACAGTTTGACCCACCCTTTCCCAAATTTAACACATCATGAAAAACTAAAATGTTGATGTCTTCACGAGAACAACTCAAGAATTTATTTAGGGAAAATTGCAGAATGTTGGAGGTACATTTGCCAAAATCAAGAAAATACAATTTTACATAAATTTGAGGAAATAGCAAACCTAACTGTTAAGGAGAATTTGAAAGCATACCTGCAATTCCCAGCATTTAAGATGTCACACACTGTCCAAAAGTCAAATCCGTCATTTTCTCCCACAGCCTTTTTGTTCATCTTCATTGGCGTCCAGAAGTAAATCACATCTCCTTCAGATTTTTCTTGTGCAGTTCGTTCCAGAACTTCTTCAGCATTAACAGATAAAGATACCTGTAAAGCACACAAATAAGCAACTGCATCCTCCAGCAACCACTTGACACATTCAAATATAGGAGAAAAACTATTTGGATTAAAGTTCATTTTTCTTCTTTTACAAATTAATAATTTTCGAAGAATAAAAAATCACACCCCTTAATAATTGATTTTCGCTGAACTTTCTGTAATCAGGAGAATCAATTGGGCATAACCATAAACTAAGCTTCTCCTGGGTTTCTAGAAAAAATTTCAGTACATACAATAGGTAAAATGAGCTGTCAGTTTAAAAATAAATAAACGAGTACATGAGAAAATGAGGGTTGGTGTCCCTCCCTGCTTTCAAATTGTCTGTTGCTGAGTGGCCATCCAGCCCCTCAGCTTTAAAAAAACATTTAAGTCCTCATCCTGTTCTAATATGAGAAAACAAAACCTGCTACTGATGTTGATATCTTTCTCCTAAACATCAAAGAGAACAAAACCTGGATATCAAACATGTAAGCTTGGTTTCAGCAATTGCATTGGATAAATAGGTACGAACAAAAGGAAAACTAGACAATTTTTTTTATTTTTGTATCCATTTGGCCATTGGCGGTGTTCACCATTTTCGGATTCAGAGAATGCAACTTTATGGTGATGGAACTTTTCTCAGGAAGGCAAAGACATAACACACTAAATTGAAGGAAGAAATATTCATAGTTTACTTTAAAATATTACTTTAAAATAAGAAAATATCAGTCAGATAAGGATAAGCTACTGTTACCAGATCAGGAGATAGCTTCGCTGCTGTAGTAAACTGCAGAGCATGTTCCAGAGAAGATTATAATTCTTACCTTCCTTCCTGCAGCACGCCATGACTGGAATCCAATCCAAGGCATATTGTGAATGCTATCCACCTTATTTGCAATTGCAAACATGGCGCCGAAGTCACAAAGAAGATCTCCATAATATGCATTATTCAAGATTGGAAGCCTACCAACTGCGTCAATGTCATCTGATCTTGGCCTTTGAGCTCTTTTGGACTGAAGAGGTTAAAACATTCAATGGAGCGATGTAATTAGGGAACTTTAAAACTTCATTAATCAAATTAAAAATAGTTCCACAAAACTGTCAAAGTATTCAGTATTAAACACAAATGTATATGACAGCAGTTTGAAGCTTCATAAGGACTTCAGAGTAGACCTATGTGGCACTAGTAGGAATTTAACCAGAAGAGTTGATATAATAAGATCCCAGTAGAGCAATTTAGAAACATATATTACTGCAGAGACATGTATTCAGGAGGTTCTTTTACATTAACAAACATGCATGAAAATGTGCACTTCCCGATACACGAAATTTCTTTACATGTGTGCACAGGAAAATGCACATGCGCAAGTACACACACTGAAATGCACATAGTGTTGGTGATGATTATTACTGAGGCATAAATGTTGTCTATTTGATGCAGAGAGTCTAAGAGTCTAGAATTAGTTACATTTATATATATCTACTGCCATTTTCCTATGATTCCTAAAAAAATTTATCTATGATGTGCCATGATGTCAGGTAATATAATGGGTCATGTAAAGGAAAATAATATTCCTTTACATAAGCATGTATATGTATGGAGTGCACATGAAGAACATTGATAACCCTATGCTTGTGTAGTATAGTATCTCTGTGAAGCAAGTCGTATTGAGAGTTGCATGTAGTGGTAAAGCATGAATTTTACACTCCAACAAAAGAACAAGTTTGAATGGCACAGCTGGGTTGAGCTATACATCTCATTTCGAGCAAGTGGAACTTAGATCCGCATGGAGAACATCTAAGCATTTTGACTTGACCCGACCTGACTAGGAAGCCTAGAGTGTGGGAATTGAGCAAGTGGGACTCAAACTAGGACTGCGCTAGTCTAACCCAAGGGTAGTTCAGACTGAGATGGTTGGCCCATGAAAAGTTCAAGTACTTTAAAGGACTTGGTCAAGGGGCCAATAGATGACATTCTTGAGAGTTGTCTTATTTCATCCAAGGAATGAAATAGCTCTCTTGTTGCTATAAAAAGAGTTTGCTATAATAAACCCCTTCTCTAAGCACATGCATGAACAATTCATAGGGATCAATCATAAAGAAGTCATTGATCAGCTAATTAATTGTTCCTTTTCCTTCTTACTTGCTCTTGTTTCAAGGGGGAAGTTCTACCGGTGTTGTGAATAACAAGGGGATAGTTTTCAAGGCATCTCCCATTGTTAAGACATTGAAGACCTCGAAGCCAACGAGATTCATTTACTATTCCCAACCGATCGATAGATACCATAACAGGTATAAGGAGCTAAAATCTTATGTATATTTCATAGATGCTGCACACACAGTATCTGATGTAAATTACAACATGACATGAATTACAGGACATTTTTAGAGTATAAAGAGGTGTACACACCATGAAGTAAAAAAGTAGTCAGAGAAAGAAATAATCAAGCAATAAAAAAGATAGCATAACTCTTAAATGATCTATGGAATTTGTTATGAAAAAAGAACATGCAACGAACAGCATAACAGTTAAATATACGAATCACAGAAAAGAGGAACCATACAAGACTTATCCCACGATATAGAGAGCCATGCTGTAAAAATGGCCATGCTCCTCGTCCACTGTAAATCTCATAGATGCACAATTGAAGACCAATTTTTTCTAATTCAGCTTCATCACGTTCGTTTTTGTCAAATTTTGTATCTTTATCAGCTTTTCGGGCATCATTATACACAGTATTCCAATCTCCCAAATATCTTGGCGTCCTTTCTGCAATCTAGTAGTCAACAGGAAAGCCTTTTCTGTAAATATATATGACTAGTCAAGTTCATTTTAAGGACTAAACAAAGAAAGCAGCATACCTCTTCCCTCTCTCGCCTGTCAGCATCTTCCAGAATTTCCATTTCAGCAATGATATCCCAATCTAACTGGGTAGGGAAGTCTTCTGCTGAAGAGTTGCCTATCTGGGCAGTTTTTTTTACATGAAATTTACCAGCCGCCTGTTCCTCCAAAGAAACAATAGTGTCCTCGAAACCCTTGTCTTGGACAGAAATATTGGTTTGTGTGTCTTCGATGTCAAGTAAGTCCCATGCCCAGGTGTTTTGCTTAATATGAGAAACTAGAAGAGGAAGCATCGCATCTGAAGGAAATTGTACCAAGTTCTCAAGAAGCTTCGCATAATCAGCAACACAGTCTGATGCTAAAATATTCTTGGAGAGTCTTTTCCCAGAAGAAGCAACTGAATGTGCTAAAGCAGAGAGCTTATTATCTTCTATCAGAAGTGAGAAAGCTTTCACCAATGTGCCCAGGTTATGTGGATCAAAAATTACCCCATTGACCTGATCTACAACCTGTAGGTGTCGATGTAATTATGGTAAGGAAAAACATCTAACTAAGACAAAAAAAAGAACAAAAATGCATATACAGAGAGGTCTTTTTTTTGGAGGTTTGGGGAAAGGGGAAAGTAAGCTGATTCAGAAGTTAAGCTTACATATTTTGTTATAATCTGCAAACTGGGAACAATTATGGGAATTTCGAATGACATTGCCCGCACTAATAGTGGAGGGAAACCCTGTTCCTCCTGGAAGGAGCCATAGAGAACTAAATCAGCCATCAAAAGTACTCTGTTCACATCGCCATCTGCTCCATAGTGCTTTACAAAATCAACTGGCAATCCCATACGAGAAGCAAGTTCCTGGACCAAGCATGTAACATATGACTTAACTCCAAAACTAGCAAAATCATGCTTGAAAAACTGATAATATCATCATTGGAATAAGATATCCAGGATCTAAAAAATTAACCAACTTATAAATTGAAATGCCGAATAATTTTACAAGAATGAGAGCAAAATGTACATGGAAGAAGAAGAAGAAGAACATCAACAACAAAAATGTGTTACAATCACTTCATTACAAGGAGGTGATGGGAAAAGTAAAGTGATTAAGCGGTTGACAACTACATGACCACATGAGGAGCTCCACTCACAAACAAATAGAACATCATTTGCAAAAACAATTAAACCCATTTCCTGTAAACCCAAAAATCTTACTAAGCTGAAATAACCCAAAAAAATGTTATTACGTAGAATCCTACTGTATTATATGGCTATTGAGTTTGGCATCGAAAGGCCAATGGAACATAGGTTCACTTTGGCTCATTCATTTCTCTGTCATGCTGCTATCTAATATCATTGCTATAAAATTGGCTATGAAACCTGATTAAACCCCAAATTTCAACACTTTGGCCTCCAGAATAAAAATTACCCTTAAATCAAAAGTAGAGGATTTGGATTTATAGTGTTAGAAAGCTTAGTAATCCATAATAAGAAGTGGGTTAGCAAGATAATAACTGAGGAAAATGGTTCTTACAGCAAATCGGACCTTGAATTTGAGCTGCACTAGTAATAATTGGGACCACTGTGACCCAAAAAATTAATCATGTGACCTTATTCCAATAATATATTAAACACCCATATTCCCCTATGTTTCCTAAATAGAACTTAACCTCAGCTCAAATCATCTCTTACCTCTACTGCTTTTAACCGGATATAATATACAAACTGAACAAACACTCATCTTGGTTCACTGCTGATGAACTTGACTTGAAGCATTCCTCAATTCTGTACTCTTCTTTATCTTCGAAGGCATGTCGACCTTGCCTTGTTCTCCATCTTATCTCTCTATTGGACTCAGACTAACCTTTGTGATAACCTTGTATACTGACTCCAGCTTATTCGAAAACCAGAGAACTACCTTTGATGTTAGCTGATTGTACTCACTTAATGTCTATAACTCATCTCAAATTAATTGTAGCATTACCAAGTCATAGAATTTCTTATGCATGTCACCCTTGCTATTTATGATTAACCTTGCCCAGATCTTCATATTGAACTTGCTATACAGATGGAGCTCTAGCCCACTAAAGCACTAATACCACATTGAGAGCGTTTTAACCAAAAAGATTATTCTATTAGGTTTTGGATCCTAGTCACAGATTCATAGATCAAATATTCATATTCCTGTCCTTTTCATGGGAGGCGAAAACTTGGCTCCATTCATGCTTTAACTTGGGCACTTTTAACCAGTGCAAGCAATATGGTGAGTTTATGAAAAAAAATGTATTAGAAAGGAAGGAGTTCAAACTAAAAGAAGTGAAGAGCGACTTGGAAACCTAAAAAAGTTAGCAGAATCAAATAATGTTCTACAATTATTCTCAGGTAACACAACGTGTAAAAAAAAAGGTTTAATTTCAAATGGCAAGGTTTCTCTACCCCCGTCACTTAAGGATAGGATGCTACATCATAAGATTACAATATAACTAAAAGAACTTAAACCACTCTATCTTGTCTTAGGACAAAATTTTTTTTCACATGATACTATGATCCTAAGTGTGCACTCATAAGAAATTCCTGGTGTATATATCGAGGTAGAATAAGGGGAATCAATTGAGAGGTTTGGACATATGCGACATAGGCAATTTAAATGTGAGACAGTATTAGTGAAGCAATGAAGAACAGAGCTAGGTCAGACTAACAGGGCATAGATGGAGGGGAAGGAAGGATATAATAATTGTTAATTTAATTGAAGAAATGAAAGCAAACAGAATTGAATGAAAGAAAAAGATTCATGTGGCTGATGCTACTGATTCAATAATTTGGAAAGGAAAATGACTCTCTGACTTGTAAAGGGGTACATTGATAAATTAAGTGTAATAAGGAATCATATTTAGTCCCTTGACCCGTTTAACCCCTTGACTGTGCAGAGTTCCGTTCAAGTTGAATGTTCTCCACTAAAAGATTGCACTCGATTAATTCACGTCGAATGCAGTGAACAATCAAAGATAAGTAGAACTACAGCATTCAAAGTTCATTGATGAGCGCAAGTGGGCAAGATTAAGTCATAAGAAAATGGAAATGAAGTTTGTACTGCTGTATATCCAAAACTACACTACTAGACCCCCATCAATAGTCAAAGAATTGGATAATTATTTAAAAAAGAAAAATCCCGTCTTACTTCCAAGAAGAGAAGTATATCCAGTGACAAATTACAGATTATTTTGACTGAGTTTAGGTGCAGGCAGCCCTTGCATAAGCTAGGATGAATGATGAATAAGCAATACTTTAGCAGGTGATCTTTTCCAGGATAAACTAAACCTAAATGAACTTAAAAGTATCTATCTATCTATCTATCTATCTATCTATCTATCTATCTATAATTTCCAGTTAGATTCTACATACTTTACTGAAAAGAAAATATACATCACAAGTATATAGACCATTTTAGCAATTCTGAATTAGGCTGATGCTAATAATGGTACACAGCATAGCATGTTCATGCAATCGGTACCTGAAAAGCATAGTCATGGGCAGGTATGGTATCCCCACATAAGAAAACAAACTTAAAAGTTCCTCTCCGCCCTTCTATTCTTTTAATTTTCTTAATCTCTGGTATCATGGCGTTCATGATAGCTGCATATTCCCATGCCAATTCATCATAGAAAAAGTTGCTCCCAATAACTAACATTATAAAGTCATCATCGTTAAACCCGTTATCTTTCCGTAATCCGCTTCGAGAATGGGATGCAGTGTAAGTCTCAGCAGCCCAGGTGTTGACTGGAGATTCAGGAATAACATAGAAGTTTCCAGTATCAAGTGAACCATACATCATCTGACAGGGAGAAGGAAAAAAGAGAAAACAATTAGAAGGTATACCTGTGAAATTGGGTCAATCAAAGAAGCAACTATAACTGCAACAATATTAAATTAAAGGGCGGGTTCCTACTGGAAGGGAGAAATCTGGAAACACCACAACATCAGCCCTTCTAAAACTGGTTTTCCAAATCGTGATAAGGTCATCCCACTCATTTGTTTCATACATTGGAAGGCGCCTCCCAAGGATGTCTTCATGAATAAGCCACACAAGTGGTACAGAATCGAATGGATGTTCCATAAAGCTGCACACAGTTTACTGTCACTGACCATACAACTAAGCAGTTTAATGAGTAAATGCTCGCAAAGCCACAGTTCTAGTATGTAGTAGAAGATGCTTAAGTAACAGATCAGATTCAGACTATTAATCAACAGATAAACATGAGTAGATAATATGCATATAAATTTGGTATGTTTTCATCTTAAGATTTTAAGATGATTTAGTTGTGCATAGAGAACAAGTACTTCATGAAGTTTATCATTGGATTGCTTGTCACAACAGGAGAACAAATAAGACATGACAAGTCAATGCGCAAGCCCACAGAGCAAAGTTTACAAGTACAATAATTTCTTGTTCTTAATCGTATGAGCTGCAGAGAAGCTAAATGAACTCACAGGTGACTGCAACAACAAAAATCTAGAACTGCAAACGGTCTTAGACAAGGATTTTGCCTACAAATCCTTCCTTCAAGAGAGAAATGTGCGCATTTGTACAGGCATGTGCGCCTGTGCATATCTTACTTGCTCAATTCACATGAAAGATTAAGCAGCAATGCTAACTATGAAGACACCCCAATAACTATTTTAATACAAATTTTATTTACCATACAGGTGGAATACAAAAACATAAAATGACTTAAATCAATAGTACATAAAAGGGAATCAAAATAGCTGGACCGTGCCACAAGGAAAACTCACAAGCTACAGTTAACAATGTACCTAACACAGAAGACATGATTTACATAAGCTGAAGGTGTCTGAGTGATTGGTCTGCATGCCTTTCCTTTTTTTTGTTTTTCCTTTTCTATTATTGTGTCCTAATAACTAGCATAGAAGATTTGTTACAACAAACAAGCATGATGCCTATACAATACCTTAGGCTGATGACTCAAACATTTTTCCCGCATGACATAAAACACTATAACAACAAGAAAGCCTTCATCCAAACTTTTTGGTTGAAGTTGTGTGGCGTGAAATGTTAGGGTACATAAAAGAGAAAAATCAATAGAGTTGAAGATAACCACGCATGTCTGAGATAGAGGGAAAAAATTATGACAATAAATTTAAAATTTTAGTAAAAGTAATTCAAGTTGGATGTGAGAAGTTGCATGTAGAATTAAACAACTGCAAATGCTAGTTATAAAACTTAAAATCTAAACCAAACAAGTGCAATTGTTGTTTCATAACGGTTGCAATGCTTCAATTGCATGCAAGTGAAAGTTGGAATGCGACTGCAGTTGCAAGCCATCAAACGCCTTCTAATTATGAAAGATAGGAAACTTACGGTTCGAGTGGATTTTTTACCAGTTTTGAAGGTTAATTTACATCTTTAAACATGCTTCGCATGATATGATTAGTATCTTTAAACATCATCTACTTCATGATCATAAGGTATAAAAAGACGATTCAAAAAGCTTGTGACAAAAATAAACTTTACATAGAAACTAGTATATCCTTACCTTGAAATGACGCTTTTGGCTTCAAGAGAACTTAGGATAACAGCTTCATAACTGTGCCAAACAAATCATATACATGTTCATCAGAGGTACCATCATGACCAAACTCATAGAAACATAATTTCTTATAACATATCAGCAACATTGCACAAAAAATTTAAATTGAAAAAATGCATGCTATTCAGCTTTTGCCGCATTAAGAACATTGAATATATTTATACTCTCTAAAATGGAAAGTAAATAACTATATTGATGCTTACATTGACCAATCAATGGTACTATAACTGTCAGAGGGCACAACTGATACTTGAGAACCAGCATGCTCCCACGAAGAATGAGCTTCTCCGTCCTCTAATGCATAAACCTATTAATAGTCAAACTGGAGAAAATTAAACTATGAATCAAACTCCTTAAGAATGACCAACTATTATAGAGTACTAGAAAAAACTTCAAATATAAAAAAATGCAATGCTTCATCAATGAACTAAAGCTGAAATCACAAATATAAAATCATTAACAAATGATCGTCTATTGGTTTCCTCCATTAGAATGCTATAATTCAACTTATACGACAAGCAATCAATCTGCTCCACGACACATGCTTTTATTAAACTAATTTGGCAGGCTTTGGCATACCAGAGACAAGAAAGAAAAAGTGAGAACAGCAGCAAATGATTCCTAAAGAAATATAAAGAGACGGATTCACAACTTTGATCCCTGAAAATCAATTAAATCTAAAATACCAACCAGCACCGTGCCAATAAACCGTGGAAAGAGCTATATGCCTATATCCGAAAACATTAAACAAATGTTCCAGAAAGTGGTATCTATATTTTTCAATCATGAATGCCTGGAAATTCAATGAGAAGTCACTAGATATTATAAAGTAGAAGAACTAAAGGAAATCAAGTTTTATAATAAATGTCCACCTTGAACAAAGTCATCCTCAACAACCCAGGATTATAGGCATTGAAGTTAATGCTTAAACATCTTGAGTTCGAAGTTTAGCAATAGAATGTGACACTTCTAAAACTTTTATTCTTCCATTACGACTTACACAAAATCCTTCAAACAATTCGCATTAGAAAACACAAAAAAAGGGCCCTGACTGGAGTCACTATGAATTTATTCCATCTCCAGTTAAAAGCCTTGAGTCTCATTCATGGGTTCTGCGAATAAAAGGACACTCTTCTGAATTAAGTAATGTGTGATTATGTATGTGCATATGTTATTTGTAATTTTGTATATACACACAGGTTAAACCAATGCGTGCATACACATCTGATTTTGTGTATGCATGTGTCTGTAAAGACAGTGATGGAGATGGAATAGATCTCTCAAATGCACTAACGACTCTGTTTGCCTATCACTATATCCAAAGATGTACACTCTCCTTACTAGACAGGCTGTGCAATCGAATTCAAAAGCATCTCGCCAAGCACTTGTCATTGTTGTCAAAACACCTAAGACCTTAAATGAATAAGATGCTTTTCCATATCCAAGAGATATGTTATCGAACACTGCAATCTCACAGACATTAGAACAACTTTTCGTTATTGAATACATCAACAATTCTTCATACACTACCATCAAGTTCTTGTAGCAGTTTGAGGACCTATTACAGACACCTGGAATGCCAATTCAGCTCTAGAGTGTATCGTGATGCAATCGCCCGCTATTTACCGTTAGGGCGCGCTATTGGCCGCTTTTGCGAACGAAAAGCGCATATTTTGCAATATGTCACCGCTATTAGGCGATAGCGTAGAGAGAAGGGACCGCTAACGCTATTAGCGCAGCTATTGTGGAGCTATTTATCGCTATTTATAACAGTGGTATCATCCTAAAGAACAATGACTTTCATGTCTTATTTACATAAATTAAATGGTAAGAATTAACACAGTAATGTCTTCCTTTGAAGCTAAATGCTTAAGAAGAGTCGTAGTTGAAAAATTATGAATATTCTATGAAAAATACAGCAGCTTATGTAGGAGGAATAAGTTAAATGCTAAATTCTACACCATATAAAGATGCAAGATGTGTTGAATTTACTTACCGTTGATGTGTATCCCAGCTCAATAAGTCCTCTCACAATTGTTAAGAGCATTAAAGATTGCGAATCTTTATTCATATTCCCCAAAACCTGGGTTACAAAAAAAGTCATTATAAAAAAAGAGCTGAAATAAATTTCATATGACACAACACAAAACAAAAAACAGAGCCTGCTTATGATGAAATAATAGAAATGCTTTATGTTACATTTGATTATAACATAATATTTCGGCCATCATTTACTCATTTTAAATAATAACTCATAAACATAAAGCTTCCTGAAATTTGCATTTATGCTGATCTGATTCTATGCAAAACATTCTAGCAGTTAATAACATGTCAAGTTATGATAAATATCTTTTACAATTATAAACTTACATTGTTACAGTTTCTAAAGGTCAAACAGATTTCATGGGTTCTGCATACAAAAGGACACTCTTCCGAACAAAGTGATGTGTGGTTTATGTATGTGCATATGTTATATGTATATACACATAGGTTAGACCCATACTTGAATACGTATCTTATTATGTATATGCATGGGTAATGTGTCTGTAAAGAGAGTGATGGAGATAGAATGGATCTCTTAAATGCACTAACTACTGTGTTTGCCTATCACTATATCCGAAGAAGTCATCTCTTCTTACCAAACAGGCCATGCATTCAAATTCAAAAGCACCTCCCCGAGCACTAGACAAAGCACCTAAGACCTCAAATGAATAAGATGCTTGTACATATCCAAGAGATCTGTTATTAAACACTACAATCTCACCAACATATGAGCTGTTATTGAATACATCAACAGTTCTTCATTATATGTTCCGCTGCCATCAAGTTCTTGTAGCAATTTGAGGACTCCTCGCAGACACTTGGAATACCAATTCAGCTCTAGAGTGTATTGTTTTAAAGAACAATGACTATCATGTCCTTTTTACATAATTAAAATGGTAAGAATTAACACAGTAATGCCTGCCTTTGAAGATAAATGCTTAAGCACAAGTTGTTGTTAAAAAGTTATGAATATTCTATGAAAACATACAGCAGGCTACGTACGAAGAATAGCTTAAATGCTAAATTCTACACCATATAAAGATTCAAGATGCTGATTCGTACCATTTTATAGACTGCACTTTCACTTTAACTTTCATAAAAAACAAACCACTCCCTTAACTGACCTCCAAACTCTTTACAAACAAATCATCAAATCTTGTAAGTTTTCCCAATGAGTAATGAAAGTTCTTAAAACTGCAATTGCTGTAAATCATCAAAAACTTAAGCTTCATGGTCTCAAATCTAATCCTATTATAAAAGTTTGTTGGTATGTTAAAATATTTCTTCCAAAAATATCCTCCAACAAACATACATGTCTCCATAAAACACATACATACATACATAAACCTTACCCATTCAAATCATACACATCATACATATACATACATAAATACACACACTATACCTCTTCATATTCTTTTTCATAACCCCCTCTTATTAAATCACATTAATTTAAAGTTTTAGACTATAGTATAACTATTATATAATATATTAATTGAAAAATATTGTATTATGTAGTTTGACAAATGCATGCTTATTTTTTTAGCATTTGAATTATATAATATATATTTTAGAAAAGCATTATATAATGTGGTTTGATATGTACATACTTATTTTATTTATCATTTCAATCTTAATCTTTTTTAGCTACTGGAAAAGATCCTCAAAAGTTAGAGCATGTTTCTTTTATTGTAACTAAATCTTATTTTGTTCATATTCCATACTATAGTTGGATATATGCTTGTACTATATCTAGCATTTTGAATCTCAATTAATAGTATGTCATTAATTAAGCACATTGAGCATTTGAATGTGAAGACAAAAATCTTGGCCGTTTCAACTCATTTAGGCATTTTCATTATGAATTATAATTAGGCGTTCAATAATGGAAGTATTATTAGGTGTTTTCATTAAGGAAAAATCAGTTATGAAATCAAATACAATATACATCAATTCTCTACACTTGAATCTTATTAAAAACAAAGAAGAAGAGATAACATAGCAAGGACAAGAAAAGAAAGGAAGCAATGCTTCAAAAAGGTTAGTAAAATATGTATATTTTGAAATAATTAAAAAAATCATACCATAAATTGAGATTTTATTTCAATTACTCATTCTTTTCAAATAGAAGAAGCAATCCACATTAATCTTTGTTGAAGAGAAATCTTGATTTCAAATGATTAATTGATGTATGCAGGTAAGTTTTCTCCTCTCTTATTTCTTAATAATTTTGGATTGTTCGAAATTGAAGGTTAATGATAATTTTTGTTGTTCTTCAATTTTGGATTGTAATAAGAAGTTAATTAAGGTCTAATACTTGGCCCAAGATTGAGGATATGAAGAAAAAAAGGATTTATATGAGATGGAAAGAAAAAAAAAACTGTAATCTGCTTTTAGTTTTATGAAATTTATATATATTGCATCTATAAATCCAAACATCAGGAAATTTTGTTATTCTCCCAAATGTTAGAACTGCGATGTCTTAATACTTGAACTGATTGTTTGATGACCTAAATAAATAGTTTCAACTGCTATTATGTGCCTCGTGAGATTGAGTAATGCATGTGAGTTAATTTTTTTTGGATTTAACTTGCTTTTGTTATTCTTTATTTCTTAATATTTGAATTAAATTATAATTTAATTCAATTTTTTCTATATTCTTATGAAAATATAAAAAAATGCATGTAAAAGATCTCATTCTTTAGACAATATTTTAGACATACACAAAAAACAAAAAGTATCTTCCCTTAGATTTCTTTTAAGACTCTTAGATAGAAGAGGGAAAGCAAGATTAAGAATTAGTAATTAATGTGGATTTTATAAACATAACATTATATTCAATATCATTAATCAGTGTATTTTTCATTCATGTATAATATTTTTCTCTTTTTGCGAAAGAAATGATTAAAAAGATGAAATAGGAAAATTATATCACAACAAGCTCATGAAAGATTTGTAAAAAGTTATTTTTTAATGCACATAACATTATATTCAATATCATTAATTCTTGTAGCTAAAGAGCAGTAACTGCAGTAAATAAAAGGAATAAGAGAAGAGGTTTGATTTCAAAATAATGGTTAGCTCTCTAAATCCCACAAAATTATTTTGCATACCAAAAATAGAGTTTTACATTAAATATATTTTTCAAGGAATTTATTGCTTAACCTTTACTTTTAAATTAAATATGAAAATAGATAACCATACTAGTATCAATGAAAATTGTGAATCTAGTGCCCAGGATTAGCTAGAGAATCCTAAGTTAAGATATACATGCATCAACTTATGTTAGTTAGCTAGAGTTTCTTGAAGTGAATCAAGATTGGCCACACATTTCAATCAAGAATTCAAGAAATCTCAAAGCAAATATGCACAAAGTACCAAGGCCAATCTTGAATGTTGAACCCTAACTCTCTCTCACCTTGAATCTTATTTTATCCAGTCTCCTCCAATCCTCCTCCCACCTCCTCATCAGATCCATCAGTCTGAACATCACCGAGGTCCCCAGCGGCGGATTCTGTCTCGCCGGAACCTGCACTGACCCTGATTCCTCAACGTGTTTTAGGCGAATAAGACGATGATGAAGATGTAAGAGTTGCTCGCCTCCGCCTGAGGTTCCTCCGAGCTGCCGGTGATCGATTATAGTGTCTCCTCATAATCTTGATCTCATTAGCTTCTCCTTTTCCTTCAAACTAATTTCGCTTGTTCTTCTCATTAACTTTTTTTTAACAGATTTTTATGTATTTAACACCCACTTAAAAACTAAATAAAGCCTAGGCAGTGCTAGGCATTGTGTACCCTGCCTAGCTCTTCCTAAAATCACTATTTGTGATACACTCATCAATGTACATCTCTAGTTTAGCATCTCACAATTGAAGCATATTATCAATGCTTGTCTGTATTGCCTCAAAAACCTAATCTAGTCAGTATTTGCAGCTTGCTGTTGAGGCATCTACATCAAGCACTTCTCTGCAATATTCAATGTTCTTTGTTGGCTCAGTGCTGAAGTGTCCTCCATTCACTTCTTCTTCCTTCTAACTTCCTTAATTGAACTTCCATCCTAAATGTTCTACTAGTTTTGTGCTTATCTAAGATATTATTTGTTAAAAGATCAGAACACAAGATAATGTCAACATGTAATGGCCAATACTGCTCCAGAGTTTGATTGGTCCTTTGACATCTCAGACCACCAACATGCTACTTGCGGCGTGAAGTCCATGATATGTCACGTGCAAAGTAAAATGAATCCGTCTTTCCATTAAGGGCAAAGTGCAACATTTCATTTGTTACTTTTATCTCCCAGCTTTGCCATGACCATGTAAATTTCTTATTTTACAGGCATATCTTTCAGCACTGATCACCCTTATATGTATACACATATTAGCATACTTTTGCACATTATATTATGTCATTCTTGATTGTTTCCATAGCGGTATCCAACATTCAATACCTAAAGTTTAGTAACAAATGGAGCATTTAAAAAGAAACTTCACCAAAACTTTTCTAAAAGGATCCTGCACTGTTCACATAGCTTGCAAAATTATAAATTCCATTAAAGAAAGTAAAGTATTCAACAAAGAATTCTCAGAATTCAATAATTCTACTAATGAGCACACCAAAATTGAACAGCATTCACAGTATCTTCAAGATCAAAAGTTAGCTAATACTAGTGCACAAGATCTTGAAGTTAGCTATAACATCTCAGTTCGAACAACAGCAATGAAGAATCGGCACACACATCCTCATCAACAAATTCAAGAAAAATCTCAAGAACAGAAACGCGCAAACTCACCAGAGCC